AATATTAATCTAAAACTATTCCGATAAATTTTAATCCAAATTATTTTTCTAACTTAAAGTATTTACTTATTAACTGTATCCTAAGTATACTGTATGCCATGGGTAGTTTGCTTTAAACTTAGTCACGCATATGGATATTAAGGTTGTTATTAAGACATTTTAGTACTGCCTAACCACATAAAAGGGATAAAAATGTATTTACCTAAGTTGAGTGTATAATTTATAATTAAAGTGAATTTATAAGAGATTTTGTCAACGTAATGCAATTGTTTGAGATTTGAGCTAGCTGAATTGTTGAGATACTGTCAAAGTAAGCTTCCGTTTATTTAGCGTGCATTAAGTAAATACATTAAATTGTTTAACTTAGGATATTATTGAAGTAGTTGTTTATAATTCCTTAGTTTTGAGTTCATTATGTCTTAGGCATTTAGTTTATTCATTATTTTTTACGTATTTTTTCCTATTCCTTGCTAAGTTTAAGGCAAACAGAAATAATACGCTACGATAAATTTATATCAAGTACCATGCAGGTAATTCTAAATTTTGGATTGTTTGGATGAAGCTAAATTGCAGAACGCCTGAAATGGCCGTTTACTATTAATATCCTCTACACTAGTCACTTCCACGCAATATATCAGAGGACCATGCAATTCTTTATGATTAATGAATATACAAACAAAGTTATCGCCTTCTTAAGTTCTTATTTATTTGTTGAACAGGACTATAGCAAGCTTAGATAAGTAAGGCCAAATTTATAAAAAATGCTGTTACCTTCATATCAATACATTAGTCCATTTATTTTTCCATTTATTCTTATATTTTTAATCTTGTTCAGTCAAAAAAATAATTTTTTCTTGTATATTCTATTATACACTAAAGTTTGTATTATTTAGGCATAAATATAGCTATTATTGACAAATGGGCATAGCAATAAGGATTGAACTTGGGTGAAACTTTAAAAAATATAACTATACAGAGTATAGATTCAAAGTCGTCAGAATAGGAGCTATAAGTTTTAACCTACCTAGTACAATGGCCAAAGTTTTTGTGGCCTTTCGCTCCCTTTTGGCAGCTGATCTCTCCTTGCTACTATTTGAATTGCCAGAAATTGTAGAAGAGCCCTTATTTGTATCAGCACCAGCTAACTTAAATGAATCACGTGCATCCCTTGAGTTCTGTACAGTCTTTTGAACAACTGAATTGTGAGGAAGACAATCTAGATCCGCCTTCTGCGCCCCATTGTAAGAAGAACTTTCACTGTTGCCGAGCCAGGATTTTCGGCCAGAATAAGGGCAGCAAAATGATGTGGACAAACCAGTTCCGATATCTTCTGATTTGTATACATGGCAATTTTCCTTGTATTTTTTCTTTACATTTTGTGAAATTTCTTGCGGTGGCTTTCTTCCAACGCAGCAAGTAAGTGACGAATCTTTCGAGATTCCGTCGGTTTCAGTCACATTCTTTCTCTTGGTAGACTGCAAGCTTGTGGACTTGCCAGTATGCGACAGCATTGGCCTTAAAATCCTAGAACTGTCACTTTTCAATATACGATTATGTATTCCTTTGAATGTATGATTTCTCACCGGTTGACTTATTTGACAATTTCTTCTAGCCTGTTCTCCACGTTTCGCTGCCTTAATACGTGCTTTAAGATGTCGCCGAAACGCCTCCATATTTTGGAATTCTATTTCACTGTCAGGAGTGGTAGTATTAACCGGCATCGCTTCGGAAATAGGGGTACCGGGTTGATAAGCCTCGTCCAAAGGACCTGCAATCTCTGAAATAGAAGAATCCTCTGTTCTGTTATCTTTTTCCGCCGATATTCGCACGTCATATTTCATATTAGACTTAAATGCTGGAGAGGATGCAGTGCTTTCAATGACCTCATTGAGGCAAGGAGATCTAATTTCGAAGGTTGCAAGGACAATAGTTTCTAGAGAGACTTCTTTAGGCGAATAATGCTGCTCTGTCAAAGGTACTGGCATCGGTAAGTCGAAAATGTCATCGACATTAGGATTTACGATTACCCTTGCCCGACTAGGAGCTTGTCTTACAGGCATCTCATCTTCGTCCTCATCACCATCTGCGCTTTGGTCGTCAGTGATTTTAAAGAAACTTAGCCTACTTAGCTCTTCAACCGAACTAGAAATATGCATGCTATATACGGGACTTAAAAACATTTGAGAATATGGTCTTGTCTGCGTTTTCACTCTGGTTAGTTGATCAGCTTCAAAATCACGCACACGCGACAAAGAATGTGACGTGCGAGATTTTGTCTTCTGAGATATGGAGCTTGGCAATTTTTTATCGTGTACTTCGTTGTTCAATGTTCTTTTATAATACTCATAATTTACACTCGGCTCTCGAAAGTTTTGCGAGATTACGAGATCAGGAATACCTGTTCGATTTTTCGGTATCCTAGATTCGGACCATGATGCTTTTGTTCCGATGGTCTTTAGTGGCTGGACAACTTTATACTTGATGGTAGACTTAGATCGCTTGGTACGCAGCTGGATAGCACGA